GTCTCGCATCAAGTCAGGTCTGGTTACTAGTGAACGTACCGGTAGAAAAACCTAATTGGATCCTATTGCTAAGCATAAAACAACATCAAAGCGTATTGAAAGATGAAAACATAATATTTAAATGAAAGCTCATTAAATTCACAAAGACCTTTTCTATGTATATTAATAAAATTCGAAAGCACGGTCTGCGCGGAGGTAATTAATTAGATACTATACAGCGGTTAACAGACCGCGGAGTTTGGTCCAATGTTCCTAGAAAAACACAAAGAACACAAGTTCTGTAATACATACTTATTAACAAAAAGTACACTTAATTATAAAGTCTCTTTGTCGTGAATTCGGGCGGGCAGCAGCCGGCGCCGTGGACCGCAGCTAGTGAAAGCAAATAGAGCTCAGAAGCCTCTTAATGAAATAATTTTGTAGCGAAATCCTTGAGTTATAAAAAGTCTTTTGAAAAACGAATTGGAAATTGCAAATGGCGTCGCCGCGCAGAATTTCATTACGAGTCGCTTTCCCATTTTCCATTTCCACTCTTATATGAATGAGGGAATTATGAAAACTTACTCCAGTGTTAATTAATGTTAAGCGGTTAAGCGGCGGGTGGCGCGCTCGGAGATTGGATGGGCTTTCATTATAAGATCCATTTAGGGGTACAGTCGGTCCTGAATCGTTACTTTAACTTAAATAGTGACGACTTGTTACTCTATCGCAGTCACAGCGAGATTCTATTTAGAAAATTGTCTAGTGTTTTATCAAATGCACATAATAAACGAAGTTGAAAACGCATCCGCGCGGACGAGCTAGTATCGCTCACTCGCCCGCCCAAAACAATGTGCGAAATGCGATAATGGAAAATGCTTTACCGCGCGAAATTTTCGAATCGCGAATCGTGTTTTAACTTTGATTTATTAAAGTCGGAAAAAAGGAAAACGTCGATAAACATTTACAACAATATGTGTAACTATTTACGAATCTACTAGTACATACCTCTGACGTCTCCAGAACGTTTAAACACACGAGTAGATCACCACGTAGGACACTGATTTTAGAACGCGTATTAGTCTTCAAAACTCTCTGCACTCGCGGTAAATTATTACGAAACAATAACTTTCACTTCTGGGAGTCACGTAACAAACGAGAACCAAACACCACCGACTCACACGAAATCATAAAGCACTGGACGTTGTGCACTGACGTAGATCAGCGTCTGCGTCGTATCGCGAAAAAACAGATCTACCCTCGAAAACATTACTATTTTATTCCGAATAGTGTTAATGTTAGACAAAAACATTCAGGTACCGAACCGCACTGTACATTATGGGCGTGAACATAACCGAATTCGAACCATAGATACAATTTGACTTGATTGTTTCGGCGTTGGCCTATCAATTACGAATATTTGTTTCGAAAGTACATATTATTAGTTAGTGCTGGGACCACTGCACGTACTGTCCGATGGGATACGGGGTGTTGACTGTAATGTATAAATATATTTTAACATAATTTTAGGGATTTTTAACTCTCTATCTTTACTATAACACTTTCTCAAAAATTGTCGACATCAGTATTGCCTTTTACAGATATACCCAACAAAATGATTTCAACGGAACGACCAAATTCAGACATTATGCAAATGATACAATTAACTCGTTCGTTTTGTTAACAAACAGTGAAAATTGGATTGACCAACACACTACTATACTTTTCTACCGATTTTTAATTGAATAATATTTATTTTTATGTATAAACCTTTTATTTATTTATTTACGCTTCCAACAACTTCGCCGATTGCGGTACAATTACGTGTTCCATAGATGAACATGTCGTAAAACAAATGCATTGCAATAACGCTATAACTACTTAAAATCCCTTTACTTATTTGAGTTATTTGCCTTAAGTGTTAAAAAAAACTAATGCAGCTTCACCGTGGGGTTTGAACTTAGGACTCTTGCGGTGCAACGCTTTCAAAATTGAGCCGCGCAAGGCGGTTACTACCGACGTAATTATCTGAAAACCGCCATTTTCGTAAGAGTCGATCATTTTCGTTTTTGTGTCGAGTCGAATGTGCATTAATGTACTCTTTGCGGATTGCGGTTAAGCGTGTGCCTGCTACGATCGATGGGGCCCCGCGACATAACCGTTTGCTAATTTAAATGCAGCCGAAACGTCGGGCGGAGTTAACTTAAGTTGTAAATAAATTAACTAATATATTTCGCATTTAAGCCTTTTTTACTATCCACACGAACCAGTTTGAAAACAAAATATTGATAGATTGCTTATTTGCAACAGATGTTGTATAGAGCTGGCAATGCCGAATACTTAGATTATTGCGTTTGGAGTGTTGCCAATACTGATAATATTATGGCAACTCAAATCGAAAGCCGTCTCAATACTTTTACTTGATTTGCATCTCGGAAAATCGTTCACCGAAATGAATGTGAATTCTCTTTTCTTTTCAGGATTCTAAGTTGCAGCCAGTAAGGAATAAGAGAGAAGTGATTTTGTGACCGGCGCTTGTTCGAAAGGCTTCACCACGTCGGACTTTACGATGGGTAGGTGAAAAATATTTCAGCCAGAAAGTCTCGATACAAGTAGACTAACATTGTAAATCCATTTCAAGTCACGTGTAGATTGAAGAAAACCCTGGTTCGAGTTCCACCAGTGTCATCGATCGTTCGAAATTGTCTACAAAGCTCACGGCCACTGTCGTATAAGAATGCTTGCGTATCGGACACAGTAGTGTGTTCGTAGGCCGTGAGCGAGATGAAAGTACATTCCCCTTTATGACGAGCGACATATTATGGAGACATTACTATTCTAGTCACGTATTCGAATATGTCACCTTGCAGCGAGCATAATATTTATATATTACTAGCTCTTACACGCCACTTTGACCGTGTCATATTTTTTAAACGTCACGACTAAGTGCCCGAGGAACAGGACATTAAAAACTTCACACATCTTTTCTTTGACAGTTTCACTGATCAATTGTACTAACAGACGAGTTAAAGAAGCATTTTCGCTAGTTCTTGGATTAAAGGGATTATTAATATTAAATAATTCGGTAAAAGGTTACTATTCCTGATATTATAATGATATTAAATTCAAACGTAAATTCGCTGCTTCATTTTTGCTCCTTACTTTTTGTCAGACGCACAGAATCGGAACACTATTTGATACGGTGTATTATGTTTTGCAGTTCTAAAAAACAAATTACAGATCCGAGATGTTGTTTTATTATTATTTAAACATAACCGAGCAAATATTTATCCAGCATGTCTTCATTTTGCGAAACTTTACGAATCGAAATGTGATAATTAAAACCTGATTAGCCTGAACAAGTTAAAACTATTTCGGAAATCAAACCTAGTGCCCCTCGCGCTAATATCTATGCGATGGTTTTGCGATGGAGCCACGAGCGACAGATAAATCAATACACGAGAGTAATTATAACTTTACAGAGCAATATTCAGTACAGAGGTAGTAAAATGCTTCGCCGCTGAAAAGCGAAAATATAATAGGATATCATAAGAATGCGATGATTAAAATGGTCAACAGATGTTAATACAATTCGGCACAATTACGACAATAATGCGAATTTGGGCCGCGAAGCGTTCGTCGATATGGGTTCGTAAACGAAAACCACTCCGCTGTTCAAATCATGTTGCGTATCAGCGCAGTACTCCCGCGTAGTGCGCCCATCGACACACAATTAAGCAATACTAACCACATCTCTGCATATTCTAGTATAAGTAAAGTTTTTAAGCAGTTCGTCCTTTGTAAGTTTCTTCATTTAATTCTGTGTCTTCCGCCGACACTTCTCTTTTAGTCTCGCCGTAAGGCAACCCAATAATAAATATTAAATTACTCGAATATCTGGTCACGATGGTCAACACGAATATACGTAACGTAAAAGGTATTTCGACTTTATTTTATTTATACCACCTCAAACATAAAATAAACAAGGCAGCGAAAATTGATTATTTATTTTCGTATCTGTGTCTGTATTGCTCTGTACACTTTATACGCTGTTACGTAAATTGTAACAGGTTTTTCACATTTTAAATTAGATTTTCGAGAGATCTCCAAAAGAAATAAAAAAGCCAGCCAGAACAATTGTGAATAAAAACAAACAATGATTTGGGCGTGTTTTTCACATAATCATATTGTATATACGATAGTTAGATACGATATATTGAACATAACAGAATAATGGTGCTGTATTCACTTGTAAAGAACGTATTAGTAATAGCGATTGAGTTTTATTGTAATGACGGTTTTGCTGAACTAGCCGTAACGTTACGACGCCGTTTTACACAATGACGCATTTTATGGATAACTACTGCACATTATAATCCACTTTAATTAGATTTGAATATGCGTAGAGTTTCCGAGTGTAACTGTTCACTCTGCTCGCATCGCCCTGGCTACTGTTCGCGTTTCGGCTAAAGCAGGGCTGATTAAGAGTCGAGGGCCGACCCACGAAAGCAATCTCCGTCATGAACGTGGCCGCAACAATAAAACGACTCTAAATCTTTTGTCTCTCTGCTTCGGAGCAGCGTATCTCAAACTTTCTCAACATGTTGACGAATAACAATATCTTTGATATCTGTACTCATTTTTTTATACATTCCCATTAGAGAGATTACAGTTGTTGGAATTCCGATATATGTCTAATAAGACTAATCTCTATACTCTACTAAGAGAGGAGAAACAATGGTGGAAGTATGTAGTAGGTGTGGCAAAATATGTAATTCTTTCGAGAGCTTCCCTCGCATGCGCCACCTAAGTCGGGTTTAAGAGCGACTATAATAGAACCGAATCCCACTGGGGCTGTACATTTTGGGAAGCGCTATTCGACGCGGAGTGAAGGGTCGAGACAAACATATGAATGTAGGTCGAGATCTCGAAAAAAGCTCTCATACAAAACCTTACGCGACTTTTCCGTAATATTCTAATGGAATACGAAACATTTACATTTCTATTTAATCATTACGTAGATGAAGTTTCACAGACTCGTTGTCTTCTTTCCTTCCCTTCTAGACGAGGACGTGGAGGAGGCGATGGCCTGGGGCCGGTACAGGCCGGAACCCCCGGCCACGCTGGCTTCAACCACGCGGTTTACCCAGCACGAAATCAAGCTGATGTATAGAGGATTTAAGCAGGTTTGTCGAAAATAAAATATTTTTTTTGTATAGTTTTCAACACTATGAGTAAATAGGTATAACAATATTAGACTGGCGGTACATCGGATGTACCGCGGAAACGATGAAGTCGTGTCGATAGCTAAATAAGACAACTAAACTGTCTCTCGTCGATTAGACGAGATAAAACACGATTTTCTGTTACACAAGGCTAGGTTTGTGCCAAGGCATATGCGAACAGATGAATCGAAGTCGGTCACCTGTTCAGTGTCATCGGGCTTAGCCCCCTTTTTTCTTTATTTGCAGGACGATATAAATCCCGTTATAATGATGAATAAAATTTTGACAAAAATGCACACATGGTGAATGTATCTCGCGTTGTGATATTTTGTTCCCAGGAATGTCCAACCGGCGTAGTGGACGAAGAGGCCTTCAAAAATATCTTCTGTCAGTTTTTCCCCCTCGGAGGTGAGCGATTTTAGTTTAATGTTATTTCCCTTTTTCACTTTAATTACTTGTATCATTAAAATGACACTGTACCAAATTTTAAATTTGTTAAGTTCGAATCGGAAACGACGCCGGAGATCAAAACTAGTTAAAAAACCTTTAATTAAAAAGTACCCCTCCCTTATTAGACGCACGACATAACCTTGTTTAGAAGTTGCCTCAAACTTTACACATTTCCCACTTGTTGTGCGCGACTGCACTTTTTACTGTGTAGTCTACACGAATGTACAGAGGGCGGACGTAGTTAAACTTTTGGGGTCCCGTTTAACAACGCCTTGCCTAGCATTGCGTTCTCCTCGAAAGAGGTGTTTGTTTAAAACTGCGATGCTTTTGGACCCAGGTCCAAATCCACAGAGGATGTTAAAAAAAACTTAGTAGTCTACGGTACAAATTCCGAGCTTACTGTTTGTTGCAGACGGTGCTTTTCGACGTTTTCTTTTCAGAAAGATTGTCCGCTATTATTCGAAAGTAAAGTATAGCATATAAAATGCATATAAAAGACTTCGACGGCGAGTGCGGCCCTGTGTTTGTGGGGTGGCGCGGGACGAGGCGGCCGCGGCGACCTGCAAAGTTTTAATGAAGTACGGGAACACATCATTATGTCGCTCGGCCCATGTCTCGCGTTCAAAGCAGAAGCAGACGCAGACGGGGAAATTTATTATATTCTTAATGAAGTTAAAAGACGTCTTCTATCAAGCTGTTTATGATACGTGCCGAGTGTCAGTCGAGCTTAAACAAGTTTCGTCTAAACTTATTCTGAGACGAGACATGAGGCAGTCTTCTTGTCTCTCGGGGACGTTGGAAATGGGAACGATATTCTCGTCTTGGACAGGTTGATTTACTTAGTTAGTACGTCGTTCGTTAAAGATAAACCGTAAATTGCAATGTGCTGTGTTGTTAAGGAAATATAGGTATTTTAATTATAATGAATCATGCTGTATATGTATAGCTGATTTGGGGAATAGAAGCGTAGCGCCATTTCAGAACGAGATCCATCCCTGAAAAGTACAAGGTACGGAGCGTGTTGTAAATATTTTCATTCCTATCTTAATTCCAGATGCGACGCAGTACGCCCATTTCGTCTTCAACACGATAAAACACAAACAACGAGGCAAACTTAACTTTGAGGTGAGATAAATTAAAGAATAAGACGAAGGAGTCCGATCGGCGTGGAAATACAACTAAACCTAATGTTGTACGAACATTTACAATACGGATACGGAAATCTCTCAGTACCGAATTATTAAAAGGAACCACGAACTAAAACTTATGTCGAATAAAACATTCCGCGACCATAAAATCCTTACATTATACAATATAGCCGTGCGAGGGAGACGGCATACGGGCGTTCAAAGTGCGAGAGAGACGGAATAAATATCTCATTTCTCCTTTATGACCCAAATATTTTATTCTGAATCTCTAAAAAGAGTCGGTTACTCTATAAGGTTGAGTATGTTCGTCTTATTTTTTTACGTGAAGACCGATTTTTATGAAATTCCTCAAGACTGCAGTTTGTTTCTGGACCTCTCTTAATTCAGTCCAACGTTTTGGGCGTCAGTGCATAAGTCACAGAAAACAGACACAGTCTAATGTACACATATACCAAAGAAGCACCATAAAAAAATCTCTGTGACAAGGATGCGGACATTTTCTTTCGCAACAATGAACTTTTACAATTGAAAAGTTCTCGTTGAAAAGAACGATATTGCAATATGTGCGGTGCCTAATTTATTTATTGGACACTATTATCCACAGGAATTCCTGGACATCCTATCGCGAGTGGCGCGTGGCTCTCGACAGGAGAAACTCTCTTGGGTGTTCGCCCTCTACGACGTGGACGGAGACGGACGCATCTCGAGAGGGGAGATGCTGGCCGTCGTGCGCGCGGTCTATGAACTGGTGGGGAGGGCGGCCGTGCCTCCGGTGCAGAAGACGTCCGCCGAAACGCACGTGGATCGCATCTTCCATGTAAACGTATAATAAAGGCATAGGGACAATGATGGAATAGCACGAGCCCGGCCGCAATAAGGGAGTAGTCGTAATTCAGCGGTCCCTGCAGGTCCAATCAGACGCGTTCTAAAAGAATAAAACCTTATTTCAAGTGATTACGAATTTGATATAAAACGTTTGTATCCGTTTTCAGCTGATGGACACGAATGCGGATGGCGCAGTGACCCCCGAAGAGCTAGCGAGATGGTGTTGCCGAGACCCCGCCCTTCTGAGCTCCCTCGACACGCTCGACACCATTTTGTGATCCGACCCGTGTGCGCAGAGCGACACGATATCCGCGCACAACCCCTCTTCGATACACAACACCGACGCTCACACTCATAGTACACACACTCACACTTCTAATGCTAACCGCGCACACGCAACGATGCAAACTTTCAACAAAACGTCTATTTCTTCACACGTCAACACACTCGCTTCGCAAATACACGCCCGAAATCCACCCACACGCACGAGTTCCAGCTCTCCTTTCGCCGGCCAGCTCATGAATGAGAAGGCGCCGATTAAAAAGGAAAGAGTTAAGCTTCGTTCGTCATCGCAAGCCTCGGTGAAGTCTTCTGAGAATTCTCTCGAAGCTAAACCGGCCACACCTCCGCCTCCCCCGCCCCGAACTAGACGGTTAGTATCCTTGCGTTCGTGGAGTGGACACGCCATTGTGTTTGTTTTACGAATTTTACATTTCATTGATTAAATTTAATTTTCGACGATGTTTAGAAGCAGTTCAGTGCAGTCGAGCGGATCCTCTACCACCGCTGCGCCCCTAACACCTTGTATCCCTCCCCAAAATGGGACGGCTGCGCCGCCTGCGTCCGCAGGCCCTCTACGTCTAACGGCCACGGCAAGTAATTACAAAATCGAGAAAGACAATCTTAAAATCGGTACTTGAACCTTAGACGTATAAATGAGCCACGGAGGTTACAATTTAACCATCAATGAATTGCCCAGGTCACAGAAGAAGCGACGCCACGAAGAGTGAAAAAAAGAAATAAGACAACAACGCCACAACAGCCGCAGGTGTCCGCGGAGGCGACCGGGCGAACGCGACGCGAAGAGAATCCTTCATCGACCAAAGCTTAAACATCGCTGATATTTTGAGAACTCCTACAATAAAAGCCGCGCGTTAACAACGACAACCGCAAGCAATCCAATAGGGAAAGTGTGTGTGTAATATTGTCCGTATAAATACAATGTAAACTTTAAAAACTTCTAATATAATGTTCTTTTAATGAAAACTTAATGCTAATTACTTTAACTTAATAATCGTAAACGAATGGACCTATTCGAATTAAACTTGAACAATTAGAGCGCTTTAAATATTATAGGTAACGACGTGACTTTGCGACTATAACTCTACATTATACTTATCGCTAGAATTAAATTAAATATTTTCCTAGAATTCCTCTTTAGAACGTCTCAATATAATATTTATATAGCGGAATACTCTTCCTCGAATCACTTCAATTCGTTCAATCTACAATACGTAATTCAAAAGTTGTCGTTTCTTAATCGTATATACACACAATTAAAATTATAATATAATAACTTTCCAATTTTTATGTAAGACTACCTAGATGTATTAATTATGTAATTTTATTTATTCTTCTCAGTAGGTATTATTATCTACTTATTACACAAAGAAAGAAGTTCTAATAATGTTACCATTAGCTGAACATTCTGGACTCGTATAGAGCTGCTCACGAATTAAATGCGAACGAAGGTTCTACGCAGATCCCATATCTGCGTAGAACCTCAAATGTACAGACCTTATTTCTCTGATAAAATTTTTACAACATTCGCTGAATTGTTATTACGTCTTTTTGCGTTTTTTATATTATCAATATTCTGTGTGATTACTATTCCTTATTATATGTCTCTATTTTTCCCTCTATCAATCTTCAAAGGATTTGTGGTTCCGCGAAATCTTGAGAAGCAAAACTTTCAGCAGACATCTATTCTTGTATCTCTATTCTTATGCTATTCTTGTGAAGTGGCTTTCTCTACGAATACAGGCCGAAGCCGAAGAGTGTCGATCTTTTTATTTGAACTTCGAGTTGTTATCCGAAGTTCATCCAAATCATCCGCTATACTCCTTAACCGCGGCCTTCGGCTTTTGCCCGTGAGCGACAGAATTTACATAATATTTCTAAGAAAAATAATACTGCTCCTTCTATCTTTACGAATATTAATAGTTTTAAATGGAACATGTAACGGGCCAGCTTTCCTCGATTACTGGGATTTCGCATTTACGGACCATCATTTGAGTAGAATCACAATATCACTAATACGCAACAGTTTGAGTTAAGCTTTCCCGAAACACGTCACCGAGCGTTGTTCGCCCGTGCTGAGCTCAGAATTAATAAATCAACTTCTATTTCCCGTTAAAAATCTTTTATTGTACATCCATATTAAACAGGCTCATTTATTACCTACTGTACAAGTTCAAGAGCATGAATCTTTATAGTCTTCTATCACTACTGACTTACAGATCACAGTGACTTGACTCGACAGATTGTCAAATTCGGTAGTTGACCGTAACATACCACAGAGTAAACTATGCCTAACTTGAAGACCAGATTTGATCATCAACACATTGGTTTTAATCTTACAAAATGTTACAGTTACAGTGCTTCCTTTTTTATACAACATGTCTTCACCGCAAAGCGTAGCATTCAACTGCTCAGTTAGTAAAACAATTTTATGTCACGTAGCGTAAGCGCTTAACAATATTCGAGGCAAAGCTATAAGGCTCTTAATCGAATCATATCATAAGGCTCTTAAAATATTTTGACAAAGCGATAGAGCTTTCAAAGTATTTGGACAAAGCGATAAACTATTTTTTTTCTTAAGAAATTATAGCGCCTGACAAAAATATATAGCAAAAGTGCATGTAATCGAATTTGCTTTGTGAATTTGCGGCTTTTTAGTTAAAATTAAAGGAAAGCCCTAATTTAAACCTGAAGTTTTCCTCTCCCCGATTCGAAAGTGAAATAAAGACGTTTCGTAAATAAAAATTATTTTAATTCAAATAAAGTGTGTTAAGCCATACGATGTACCAGGCTATCATAAACGTCATTCTTCTGAGTAAGTAAGACGACATTATACACCTATCCTAGTTGCGCAAGCGGCACGACTCGATGATTGGCTTGACTGCGCGCTGACCCGGCTGTTTATTGGCTGATATAGATGTGCATGCGCAACCTATAAACGCTGCATAATAATAGCAAACTTCTAAGCTGTGTTTTTAAGCAAGACTACCCTCTTTAAGAAAGGCGACAAAATGTTAAGATCTCTACCATCTGATTATCACCCAACTAATTCGGCCCCACAGATAAACGATACCAACGTTGACCAGTCGCTAATTGGACATAACAATTCGTGGAGAAAAACGTCGCCGAATATCGAGCGACCAGATAATAGATATGACATCCTTTAGGACACAAATGCAGGAAATGCTTTCCCAAATCTTTGAAACATTTTCAGAAAAACAAAGCCTGCTTTTTGATGATTTACATATGCGAATCGATGACATCGACACCAAATTAACTTCGGTGCAAACATTAAACCAAGAAATTGAGTCCAAATTGTCCACCCTCAATGAGCAAGTCTCTTCGATGCAAAATAAACTTTGAGAAATAGATGATGAACAATAATCATTAAACGACAAACTGATTAAGCTGGATATTAGGTTAAGTGGCGTTGAACGATCGAACAAAAAATCTGTATCGAAATAACAAATGCCCAAAAAGTTGTGAACGAAAAGTAAAATGACCTTTTCAGTATGGCATATAATTTGACAAAGTTTCTCGGTATGGAACATTTAAAAGATCGTATACGCGATGTGCCTATACGATCGTGCCCGCCTACAAAAACTCTTCGGCTTCAACAATAAATATTGATTTTACGGACACACTAACTAAATGGAATATTTTAAAGGCCGCTAAGCTAAACAGTGTTCACCTAGAAATAAACAGTTCCCAAACACCTTTGTACATCTCGGAATCATTGTCACAATATACGAAGCAGTTATTCTACCTAACTCGACAGTTCATAAAGACCCAATGATATTTATTCTGCAGGGTTATAAATGACAAAATCTACATAAAAGAAAAGGAAGGTGAAGAACATCTACAACTCCTAAAAAATGACAAATGATGAATGGTCATCCTATATGTCCTTACTCTTTTTTTCTTAACTATGTTAATTTAAGTACATTATTTTTTGCATGACTATATAAACCCAGCGTATAGAAGCATATGCTACGTTACAACAACAGTATATATACACATAACAAGTAATCTATTACTACGCCTCTTTAGCAATAGACAAATTACACTCCTTAGTTATTCTACAATAAAAATAAATATTATAAAATTACTTATTATTACATTTACACAACTATACACAAAGTTATATCTATCTATTATTACATACTCTGCCCTGCTGCTACTCGTCTAGATCGGAATCAATTATTATATTTCTATAAAATGTATTTAGATCACGATATTATCGTGGTCGCATATAAAAATCTTAATATCGGCAGACCAGTACTTCAATGCCATTCTGTGTTGTCTGAGTATAGGTTTGTATCAAATGCAATCTTTTGATATGATAGGATCCGATCTGGACAAATTTTAGTAGCAGAACAAATAAGATGAGACTCATTGTTTTGTGTGAGATAACAGACTATATTGAAATCAGCATTCATTGTTTCGTGTCTGACAACAAGTGCCTTAGGTTGACGTGTACTTCTCGCATTGTTGGTATCGGAGAGGAAAAAGGTTTATAGCACGACAAACAGTTTGGACTTATTTCTGGCGTTTGCCTTCTGTACTATTTTCTTTATATATTTTACTAATTTTGGCCTCGCTTCATTGCTGGAGAATATTTCCGACAAACTATTTTCAGTCAAGTTTATGTCCAGTCTCATTTCTATTTCAGCTCTGTCTCGCGCGTGAACTGGACAGCGAGTTAACAGGTGCAATACAGTTTCGTCGCCCTCCCCACAGATGCAAGTGGGGTCATCTTTTAATTTAAATCTGTGGAGGTAAGCGGCGAACCCACCATGGCCCGTTAGGGCCTGTGTTAGCTCGCTGTCCAGCCCCACCTCTCTCATTGCCTTAAGGGCAGATGCGACGGTTGGGAGGAAGAACCTGGTGGTGGAAGCCGTTGTTCCACCTCCATATTCCTCCTCCCACCGCCGAATCGAGTCGGTTCTCAAAAGTCTTTTTATTTTTGAGACTGGACATCTGTCATAGTCGGGTTTTCTCTTCTTGTCATGTGCGGCCTCCTTAGCGAGCTGGTCGGCTCTCTCATTCCCCTCGTGACCCACGTGTGCTTTAATCCAGTAGAGCCTCACCTCCTTGTGGTTGGAGAGGCTCCCAAGGGTCTCTCTAATTTGCACAACGAGGGGACTGAGGGAGCGACCGCTCACTATGTCATCCAAGGCCGACCTGGAGTCGCTGCACAGGTTTACCCTTGGGCTGGCGACTTTCGTTGCCAGTTGCACCGCCTTGTGCAGCGCCACCATTTCGGCCTGAAAGACAGTACAGTAAGTCGCCAGTTTTATTTTAACAGTCTTGAGTTCTTTGTCAAGTCTTCGCAGCACTACTGCGGCACCCACCCCGTCATCAGTCTTGCTACCGTCGGTGTATATATTTGTAGCGTCTGTCTGTTCGTCAAGTCCCAGTTCCAGGCTGTAGTGGTCAAACGTCAGACGCGGCTCGTCAGCAGGGTGAGGGAGTTCGTTTGGTCTAACTCTTGTCTCTATGTCCGCGTCGAGATACGGGAGGGGACTTAGACCTCTTTTCACCCTGTACAGAACCGCCGCCTCCTCAATCCTCAGGTTAATGGGAAGAATTCCCGTGAGGATTTGAACCGAGTGTAGCGATGCGGTTCTGTACGCCTTACATATCCTCTGTAAAAACACTCTCTGAATTCTATCAAACTGGACTCTTACACACTTTTTACTTACAGCCTGCCCCCATGCACCCGCGGCATACATCAGGACGGGTTCTATTACTGCAGTATAGATGGTCCTGATGATTGACGTGTCGAGGCCCCAGCTAATTTTTGCCGCTCTTGCCAGCTGGTGGAAGATCCGGTGGGCCTTCGCACAGATGGTTTTGACGTGGGTGTTGAAGGTGAGGCTCTCGTCTATTATTAGTCCGAGAAGCCTCACCTCTCTCACCACCTCAATGCCCTCCCCGCCCATGCTCAGTCGTGGGGTATCATGCTTCAGCTTCTTAGTCACAACCACAGCTTTGGTTTTGTGTGGTGCGAACTTCAGCTTGTTCATGACGCCCCACTCCCGAACATAGGCGAGGGCTGCGTTGGCCTTCCCTTCGATCTCCCGGGCAGTGTGGCCGTCGAAGACCAAGACAACGTCATCCGCGAATGCCTGGGCGCAGACTCCCTTTCTTTCAAGGCCTTGCAGTAGGGGGTCCAACAACAGGTTCCATAGTATTGGGCCCCCTATGGATCCTTGCACGCAACCTTTCATACAATTCCTCTCTATCTCGCTCCCCTGCATACTCGGTGGTCGCTAACTGGGAGGCGGGCGATACTCTGCAATATTTATATTGTTCTGTATGGCTTGCTACATCTTCGGCGTTCCTTGCCAACCACGTTTTTCGCGGTGGGTGGGGAAGACGAAGTTTTGTTATTATCGCGATCCTTCAGATCGCTCCCAGACGTCTCCCGTCGTCGCCATGCACACAGCGGCGGCGGGCCGGGAATGGCTTATAGCCTCCGGTTAGGGGTTGTTACCCCCCGTCGTCGCACCGAGAAGTCGGCTTTATAGCCGACTTCTCGGTGCTTATGGGCTTATGCCCACATATATCGTCAGCAAAATAGCTGACGAAGAGAGAAGACGGTGTGCGGGACAGGAGCCTAAACCTTCAACGGGACGGTAGCCTGGGCCTGTTGTGTGTGTTGTGTTAGGTTAGGTTTTTTTTTTTTTTTTTTTTTTTTTTTCCCTTATTGGTACATTGGTGTTGGTGTTTGAGTGATATACAGATTTTAGGGGAAGGAACTTTGTGGATGCTGCTATTGGATACAGTCTTTCCACGAAGTTCCTTTTACACTGGGTTTTTACAAAATGTGGTTCCTTAGTATTAGAGTCGCTATACAAATCAAGTTTTCCTTAGTGTCTACAATTTACATTGACATTGTTTAACTTACATTCTATAATTATATAATTGAGAGCTTTACTATACATTCGTATTTGTGACATTTATACATAATTTTCTTATCTTTATACAAACAAAATATTTACATATATATAAGGTTATACAATGCTAAGTTGCTTGCTGTGAAGTTATTACATTTGGGAATTTTAATTTTTACAATGGGAGAAATTTACTAGTTACATTTAAGTGTTATTGAACGATTTTAAGTTATTAACTATATATTTAATAAATTTATCGATGGCGTCGATCGCAGTACTGTTTAGAAGAGAGTCTTTTAGTGTGATGGTGTATGGCGTTTTGTGCCTAGTTTGTGCCTGTAGGCAATCGTGCCTTTGGGAGGAGAACCTGGAGCAGTCGTTTATGAGGTGTGTAAATGTTTGGATGCTAGTGTTGTCACAGGGGCATTTGTCGTCTGAAGTGATGTTAAATCTGTGCAAATATTGTTTAGTGTACGAGTGCCCTGTGACGAACTGAGTGAGGTGAAAAGAAACCGGAAGTGTCGTGTTAAGTTTGTGTATGTCTTTAAGTGATGGTAGGAGAGACCTGGTTGTTGCCCCCGTGGGCTCCTCCAAGTACCTCTTTTCCCAGTTGGTGTAGGAATTTAATCGTGCGATGTGTTTTATGTGAGATAAGGGGCAATTGATGAAATCGGGAGCCTTATGGGCTTTGGAAGCTGCTTTAGCAGCGGCATCTGCTTCCTCATTTCCTATGATGCCGGTATGGGCTCGAACCCATTTGAAATGTATTTTT